GGTCGGTAGGTTGACTGCTCATTGAGAGCGCCCACATTGTTGAGAAAATCCGTCTTCTGTGGAATCATCTGGCGAAAGTGGGTTTCATCACACGGTAATTGTACCTGGCAGTCGGCGTCAAGTATCACTGAAGGTCGTTGTCTGGAGCAAGCAACAAAGCGGTCGAGCAGATAGACGGACCAGAATAATCGGCGCCGCTCCTCTTGATCCACGATGGGAAGTGCAGGGTCGGGTTCTCGCATAAGGTGAAGATCTTGACTGATCCGTACGGCAAGGCCAGTCTTGACCCACGCGGCACGTCTGCGTCCAGCTATTCCAGTTTAGAAACGGTCGGTAAGGCAAAAGGTAGGGGCTCTTACCAGCTGAATCAATCACTGACACCAGGGCGAGTGCTTGGACAATTGCCGTATCTGCCGCTTCATCTAGAGCATAACCAGCCGTGACAATCAATTCCCACGACCTCATAGCATATCCATCTCGTGCCTCAGCATGCTTGCCGTGAAAGTAGGGGTCACTAGAGTATCGCATGGCAGCGGCCAAAAAGGCAAAAAGCAGGTAATCCGGCCAAGTGTCATCCTCAAGCTTCTGACGAAATTTGGCTTCATGAAAAAATGCATACGGCTGATTATGACAACGCAAGAAGAAAGTGTCGTAAGCCCTCAATAATACCGGTTTCGGAGGAAGATGCTTGTAATTTCTGTGCCGTCAGAAAAGAGGGGAGATTGCATTCAAGCGAAGGGTTGTGGACTTACGGTTGACCAGGACTTCGTGGGTTGGTGCCTTCAGGAGAACGTGGCTTATCGCTGCATACGCTGCGAGGGCGTATATCCTTGCCAGAACCAGTGGAGATGCCCTGCTGTTGTGCCAGAGCATTCACAAGCATGGGTATACAGCTGCAAGGTCGAGTTCAGCCATGTGCTAGAGCTACACACACACACACACTCTCTCTCTCTCTCTCTCTGTCTCTTGGGGGTTTGGGGTTAGGGGGGAGGAAGCCACATACGAATTTAGGCTGGTAAGCTGAGATACCTTGGCTTCCAAGGAACCCAGTCGGGCCAAAACATCATCCTAGACGACGCGCGAGTTATGACATGTCTCGAGAAGGGAATCTGAACGTCCAATACCTCTTTTGAGTATGTTGAATTGTTTCGATATACCGTAGGATCCATATCACCCCAATTGGTGTCGCCCAGATAGTGGCATTCCTGGTTCAAGCGCTCGCAGAATGAGCAACTCGGTCTCTCTCCGGAACAGCGAACTTTTTTGCGCCTGCGGACAAACTTAGCCAAAAGGCATCATCACTCGAGAAGGCGAGCGTGGTACCTGCAGGTTGAGCACGCTTGCCGGACTCGTTTGATGCCACGAGCCTGAGCGTCGGCCGTCTCAGTTTGTTCAGACATGGCTATACAATTTTTCTGGGGGGAGGGGGGGGGGGGGGGGGGGGGGAGGACAGCGAGGATTTGGAAAAGACAAAAGACGAACGACACCTGAGGTACAAAAGAGCGGGAAGATTGAAGTGGCGAACGATTCAAGTGGGCGAATTGGTGCCAAGGCAGCCACTTTCTGCCTCGGCGGGACGTGGAACCTGTGACTTGTTCACAGTTGGGCAAAGTACAAGTACAACTACATATGTACGAAGGGGAAGGTCGCGAGGGCGACAGTTGGGCAGCACAAGAGCCAAAGCCCAGGGAGCCGGACAGCCAGACTGGGGAGGTACGGGTACCAGTAAGTGCAGCCTCACTAGCCTCAAAGACAAGCACAAGCAGTAGGCCGCAGCCTACCTGGTCCCCAGTAACACCTAACAAAAAGGGAGTCAGGTGCCTCGTGCTCCCTGTCCCTTACCCCTCACAAACTTGGAAAGGGGGGGGAGGGCGGGCAGGAGGATAATTTGGACTGGGGAGATCAGGGAGCAGCTGCATGGTCATCTTTCTCCTCAATAGGCTTTGGGCCTTGGACCTTCTCAACCGGGGTCTCCGCTCTAGGTGACTCGGTAGCCTCGAGACACCCACCCAGATGTTTGCTGGGGTTTTGCTGGAGTTTGAAGTTTGCTCCCAAGGTTAGAGTGGAGTGACCTTTGCGCATGGTCAGAGCCTTCCACACTGCTGTGTACTTGTAACCTGCTCTGCCCGGACCAAAACACGGAACAACCTTAGCTGGACTAAAATGGAGAGGAGCCATCACAACCTGGGTTAGACTCAAAGATTGCTCAATGGTCCTCCATTGTCCTCGATAATGGGTGGCGTCTGGTTAGTTCTTTGTACGATCCTTGTTGCTCGTGGAACTCTTAGCTAGTGTGACTAGGTAACTTACCTTTGAACAGTGACCACTGACCTCTAGAAGAAGTTGAAGGAGAGGGGAAAGAGAGGGGGCCAGTGCCTGAAATTATACATGTACTTGGACTTGTTGGTACTGGTGGTCACCCCTTTCAAAGGCACCCTCTGGAGGCTGTCGGCAGGTGGCCGACCACTTGGACGCAGGGCCCAGGGCCCAGGCTGCTGGGTCGCATGGAACCCTGATGGTGCTGCCCGTCCCCTGCTCAGACCGCCACCTCTAGTCTCCTTCTCACTTCGGGTCAAGTGCCGCTTCCACTCCCCTTCATCCGTCCCCCGTGAGACAAATCAAATCCTTCACGCTTGCGCAGCCCCAGTCCCGCATCGCCATGCCCGGGGAACGCGGGGCGTCACCAGGATCACCTGTCCCGTGCGTGGTCCGGAGCATGAAATCGATATCCTCACATGTCGCTAGCATATTTTTCAGAAATTTCCCCCAGCTCTCTCCCGTCAACACCAAGAACCATCCACCCCACGCCTGTAAAACACATACACACACACACACACTCACATACTCTCGAGATCAATTCTCCTTCAACAACCCACCCCTCTCAATTGTCCCTCAGCTCATCACCAACTATGGCCAACATGCACTCAAAGTGGAAGGAGAGGCTCACGGAGAAGCAGCTGGAAAGGAAGAGGAGGCTGGATAGAATCAACCAACGAAATTATCGGAGTCAGTTCAAGGAGAGCGAGGCCGAACTGGGCTACCTGCGCCTCCTCGCAAGAAGTGACCAGCTTGAAGTCCTGAAAAAGCTGATGGAGGAGAACAACCGTTACAAAAACCAGATTGCATGGCAACAGTCCAGGCTTGATGCCATCGTGCTGATGCACGGTGCCCACGATCGATCGGATCAAGCCACCATGTCCACCTCTGCCAGAACCCCTCCTTCATCCGTGCTGGGGGGCAGTCCGATGCGCGGCACAGACAACTTTCCCCCGCCATCGGACTATTCCTCTCCCTCGGCCACCTCAGTGACCACCTCCAAAGTCCTGCACGAAGATGTACCCTGGTTTATGACGAGGACCTCCATGTTTTTCCAGGTGGCCAAGGATACAGGGTTTCAGACCAAAGACATCGGAGACGATATATCCGTGAATGACTTCCTCGAATCTTTCATGGCTTGGAAAATCCAGCACGGCTACGGCAACAATAACATACAACTCCTCATCGACTACTCCAACTACACGTTCCAGTCCACAGTTGGTGAGTACAGCTACCTGCTACCTGCTTTTTGTCTGGTACGGGCGTGCTGACGGTTTCCCCTGCAGAAGAAGTAGATCGAACGGTGAGGTCCAAAACGTTGATGCAGGATATTTACGCCGCACTCGTCTACGGGCATCCGTGGCCTTCTCCATCATCCCGAGCAACGTTGGATGAAGATCTTCTCCCCAATCTCAGCGAACGAAGCCGTCATCACCGTGCTGCTGCCCTGTGTGCATTCCGGGGAATGTATCGATTCAGGGACAGATTCTTCTCCGACATTGAGTTTGTGGCAATTTTTTGGACGATTTACAGATACTACCTAGTAGGTCATGACCTCAGATGGGCCGTGCAAGATTCGTGACTCATCCGCCTTTGCAGTTTCTCATCTTTCCGACAATCGAAAACTGGTCGCAGTTCCCTCGATGGCAGCGTCCGACCAAATCCCAGCTTCTCCTCCAGCACTCCTGCTTCGTGGATGGAATCGTATGGTGAGTTGCAGATACTGGTCGATTGGCGGATGTCATTGCGGCTATGCGTGATGGGATAGTGACCTGATTACTGATACCGAACAGGCCTGAACTGCGCGACCGGCTAATTGTCGGGTTTCCGAAATACGACGAAGAGAGGCTCATCTGGGCTCTGACCCGGAACATGCGAATCAACGCTCACGGCCTCCGCCCACACCAGCTGTTGACGCTTAAGTCGGATATGTCGGATTTTGAAATGGAGCCTTCCCTGAAGTCCATCGTCTGTGATCCGTCCAGCTTCAAAGTATTACCTGCCTTCCGGCGCTCGTGTCCCGAGTTCGCAGACCTAGTCATCTCCACCGCCGAGCAGCAATGCTTTGCTCCGTACGTCGGGAGTGATGCAGATTCAACCCCCGGTCATCAACTGCATGATTTTACACAAGAGCAGCCTTGCAACTCGGGTCCGCTTTCTCCGCAGGTAAATCCTCATCACAACCGCAGGGATGACCGTGGAAGCTTACGTGCTATTTCACCAGGTGTCTCCGGTCATGAACAATGCACTGCAGCCAAAGACTCAAGTCGTGCCCGAAAACGACCATCCCGCCACAGCGCAACTGCCCGATCTCGGATCCACAGATCCATTTTTTGATTTTTTCTCACAAGAGCTCGCGTCCATGGCCGATGATCATCGAATGCCCATGTCCCCCGGAGGTACAGTGGGTGGATTTCGCGATCTCAATTTCCTAGACGATATGTTCGACTTTGATTGTGCAACATCGTTGACCGATCCGACGCTGAGACTATGATTATATGCCTTCCACACATGGCTGTTGCTTAGCCAACGTTTGTTGTATCAAAATTGTACATTCAACTCAAGCGAACAATGGTGCAAGGGATTGGGATTTTTAGGGGGACTACTGGCATGGGATCGCAGTGGACAGGCCTCAGCGCTGAACAGGTCATCTATGGTTGACGTACAGTGGTGCCGGTACGCTTTTATCTACCCGCGCTAATCACCTGGGAGAACATCTGGTCAAATCCACAAGTCATGAGCTCAATAATGTTTCCCCATGGGTCCTGCATGTATAGGGCAGCCTCCCCAGGCACCGGATGGACCTTTTCGCCAACCAGCTTGCCTCCCAACCTCTCGCACGCCTCCACCGTCTCGTCGATGTCTGCAACGACAAACCCGACATGGAAGAAGCCGCCTCGTGTGTAACTGTCTGGGCCCCATTCGGGTCTTTGCTGTGCCCCATTATATTTTGGTGCAACGAATTCGAAGATTTCGAAGCCGATCCCGTTTGAAGCAGTGAGGATAATTGACCGAACTCGCTGCAGCTCCTCGCCATAAACTGGGCGGTGTTAGTTCCAGGGTCCAGACAACTTCAACATACCGATCACGAGGGTCACACACTTTTCCGAGGCACGCCACCAGCGTCTTCGGCATTCATAGTGTTATCTGGCACCAGGACCTTGAGGCCCAAGACTTGGGTGTAGAACTCGGCCGCTTTGGCAGCATCCGGTACCGAGACCGCGACATGGTTGGGATGCGAGATGATGGCCATGGCAGACAGAGTATTTTGACAATGGCTCACGGGTCGTCGAGAGGGAGCGTCTAGTGAATGGTGCGAGGGAGACGCAGTCTCTCTCTCGTTGTATTGTTTTAGCCCATTCTATACCAGCTGGTTGTCGCTCCACTAAAAAATTACCTAATCAAACATGGACTAACCAGATCGGTACAAATTCTGCCTCCCGTGCTCCCCCAGCTCAGAAATCAGTACTCCACAACCACCTTCAATTTTGCCAAATGTGGGGGAGAGCCGGTAACGAGTCGTAACAGAAACAAACTCGGCCCACGGTCCCCTCTATTAATCTCGACCCTTTCCTACTCTCCCCCAGAACCTCACAAAGCAGGCTAGCAAGAGAAAGACAACTTCCCCCCTCCAGTTCCGAAGCAAGGGCCGCCCCCCTCTCTCTTGTCGTATGACAAAACATGTCCGCAGACAACTTGCTAGATTTCTTTAAATTTGCCGAGACTTCGTCAGTCCCGCAACCTGTGCCCTGTGCCGAGGACACCCCCAAACCACGCCAGCCCCGGAACAAGACAGCAAAGCGGGCGTCCAAGGCCTGTCGGTCGTGCAGAGCACGCAAGGTCCGGTGCGACTTTGTATACACGGGGGCACCATGCACAAATTGTAAATTGGATCGGGTGGATTGTATTATCCCGGATAGAATCGGGAACAAAGCGTGAGGTGGCCTTCGTTGTGTTCCCCAGAAAGGTTCCTCTCTCTCTATCCAGGTTCAACTGACTTCCACCAGTGGGAATGGATTTACCAAGCCGAAACCTCTAGAGGCAGCGGAGCCAAACGGAGAGCACAACAATGGAAGGGGGGACATCGACGGGCTCACGGGCCAGCCTCGCAATGCTCGCAGTCGCCTGTACCAATATGCCTGCGGGCTGGCTGGTACGTCGTGAATCACCTTGCAGTAACAAGCAAATGAGCTAAAAAAAAAAAGCTGGTGTGATTGTAGCAGGAACCACAGAACAAGAGCCTCGACAGCCGCCCACGAGCGACTGGTACAAGTCTCCCTCGCAGAGCTCCCGCCCCTCGAGACCGTCGCTGGGAGAGTCGATCGTCGACTTGGCCGCCGTGCCGGGCTTCATCAAGCCTCCTCTCAACTGCATCTCTGCCACGGACCTGGCCTATCTGACCTCGCAAGGGGCGCTGCAGATCCCGTCGACGCAGCTCCGAGAAGAACTCCTCAACGCCTTTATCGAGCATGTCTATCCCTTCCTCCCACTCGTCAATGTGCATGAGCTGGCAAGCACCGTGGCCTCGGGCGATGCATCGACGGGTCAATTGAGCCTGACGCTTTTTCAAGCGCTCATGCTCGCGGGCACGGCGTTTGTGGATGGAGAGTATTTGCTCAGTGCGGGATACTCGTCAAGGTCGGAAGCCACCAAGGAATTTGTCGAGAAAGTCAGGGTGAGTTTGAACAAACATTCCTGAAGACCGGAAGAGAAAGCATGGGGAGGATGCTCGGAAATGGTTGTACCGGATCCTGACGTTTCATGTCTAGTTACTCTGCAAGTACGACTTTGACAGCGACAAGATCGTCACCATCCAGTCCCTGCTCCTGATGGCCTATTGCACGTCGGGGGCCATGTACAAGGACAACTGGCGGTGGATCGACATGGCCATCTCGACGGCCTACTCGATCAACCTGCACTATGACCCGATGACCATTGACACGGGTCCCGGCTCGGACTCGGCGGCGTCGAAGCGGCTGCGCAAGCGGCTGTGGTGGTGCGTGTTCATGCTGGCCCAGCAGGTGACGCTGTCGGTGCACATCCCGTGCAAGGCGCCCAACGACGGGGCGACGGTGCCGGTGCTGAGCGAGGACGACTTTGAGATCGCCATGCTGCCGCCCACGGTGCGGTGGCCGGGCGACGAACACAGTCTGCTGCGCGACACCAACAAGCAACGCCTCCTGGCCGTCATGTGCGTCAACATGTGCAAGCTGTCGGCGTGCTTCGAGAACATCCTGGGGCTGCAGTACCAGACGTCGAACCACGGGTGGGACGCCGACGACCCCAACAAGCGCAGCTACCTGATCCCGCGCGGCGAGGACGTCGACCAGCACAAGATGAAGTGGCAGGAGGACGAGCTGGAGGCGATGCTGACGCAGCTGCCGCACGAGGCGCAGAACCCGGCGCGCTCGGCCGTCGACGACGCCGTCGACGTCCACATCAGCCTGTTCCACATGTTCTTCTGCACGGTGCTGTCGATCCTGTACGCGCCGCAGATGTTCCCGCGCAACCCTGGTGGGGCAGGCGCATCGTCCTCGTCTTCTTCTGATTCTTCTTCTTCTTCCACCACTACCACCAACACCTCCTCCTCCTCATCTACCTCTACCTCTACCAACCCCACGACAACAACACCTCTTGCCCCCGGCCCAACCTCCTCCCCGGGGGAGAAGATACTCAACTTCCGCACCATCTCCGCGCAGGCCGCGTGCGCCATCACGACGGTGGCCCAACGACTCGTGGTGCACGGCCTGATCCCGCTCCTCCCGTCGACCAGCGTCTCGTACATCGTGGTCGCGGGCTTCACGCACGTCTCGGGCCTGCAGTCGCCCAGCTACGAGGTGCGCGCCCCGTGCCTGCACCAGCTGCGCCAGTGCCTGAAGCTGCTCGAGAGCCTGCGCGAGAACAACGCGGGCGCGCAGAGCGCCATCTCCTTCCTCGAGGCCGCGACGAGGCGGCTGGGCATGTTTGCGCAGTGAAACGCAATGTAATTTCTGCCGGTGATTTTTGATCCTGGTGATTCTGAGCGGGTGGTTTCTGCCAGTGATTCCTTGGCGGTGATGATTGCTGGGGTCATGTTATATGTTATATGTCATAACCATATATACCTAATACTCTATCCCTGTACTCTATACTACATACTGCGTACTGCGTACTACCTAGGTACATGTGTACATATATAGCTACTTGTATGCGTGATATATTTCTTTAATGCTATGAATTTGTAGCATAATCAAGGGGGGAACCGGTCTATTGAATTGCGGTGGAGGGGCTTCAGACGTTAAGCGGAGAATACGGTAACAATACGTGGTGGCGGGCTTTATTCCTTCTTCCGTCCGCCGCCAAAAATAGCAACTGCGGTTCACGTGCAGGAGCATTCTCGGGTTGAAAGCAGCGAGGCTCAAGGCGCATACCCAGGTCCAGAGATTGGAAAGGAAAGGAAAGTCCCTCGTGTCGAGAGATTCTGACCTCGAAAATCCCTGTTCTCCCTCTCCGGTCAGGGTGGGAGAAAATATACTCACAGATTTCAATGCATCTCAGTCGCCAAGCAGGAGGGACACCATACACGCGTACGGGATACAGAAACAAGTACGTGCACGGCACATGATGATACGGTTGATATGTATTTCTTATATATGTATATGTCAATGACTAGAGATAGTGAGACAGTGAGACGCCCTCTTTCCCTCTTGCCACCCGGTTGGTCCCAATGAATGCGCTCTCTCTATAAATCGCAGAATCATAGAAAAAAAACATTCAGATCTTGGCCCGGGGGCCGGCTCCGCGCAGCGCCACCAGTCCCCTCTTCCCGGCCTTGTGCTGGTCCCGGAGCACCCGGCGCAGGATCTTGCCCGACGGAGCCTTGGGGATGGCCTCGATGATCTCGACCTCGCTGATCCATTTGTGGCGCACCTTCTTTTCCTGCGCCAGCTTGATCAGGTCCTTGGCCGCGCTCTCCGGCGAACGGGTCAGCCCACTGCGCAGGACGACATAGGCCTTGGGTTTCTCCCCGGACGTCGCGTCAGGGATGCCAATGACGGCGGCATCTACCACATCAGCGTGGCCGAGAAGTAAATCCTCCAGCTCGGCAGGGGCGACGCCAATGCCGTTGACCTTGATCAGCTCCTTGAGCCGGTCGGTGATGGTCAAAAATCCTTCTTCGTCAATGTAACCAATGTCACCCGTGTGGAGGAAGCCGTCCTTGTCAAACGTCTCGTCGGTCGTCTTCTGGTTATCCAGGTAGCCCATGGTGATTTGCGGCCCCCGGGCCCAGATCTCGCCGGGTGTGTTTGGTCCCAGCTCTGCTCCGCTCTCGGGATCGACGACCCTGATCTCGGTCGAGGCGAGGAGAGTGCCGGCTTTGGTCGCGTTCTTGAAGTCGTACTTGTCCGGCGTGGTGACGGTGATGCAGCCGCCCGACTCGGTCATGCCGTATCCGTGTTTGAGCCCGGCGTTGGGGAACAGTTTCTGGAGACGCGCGATGATCTCAGCCGACAAAGGCGCGGCCCCGGACGTGAAATACCGGATCGAGCTGAGGTCGTAGTTCTCAATCGACTTGTCGTGGACCAGGCGCACCAGGATCGGTGGCACCAGCATTAGCTCCTGTAGCCGATACTCCTGCACGACCTTCAACATCAAGTGCATCGAGAAGCTCGGAAGCATGTGGACGTTGGCGTTCAGCACGATGGGGAGGTGCATCTGGTGAACCAGCCCAGTGATGTGGAACAAGGGGAGGACTGCGATCATGCGGTCGATCTTGGCTCCCGCCTGTCTCATCTGCAGACACTGGGCGATGATGTTGCTGTGCGAGATCGCAACCGCCTTGGGGAGGCCCGTCGTACCACTGCTGAAGGAGAGGAAGGCGCAGAAGTCCTTGTTCTGCCGGCCGCGAGGGATCGTGAAGGGTGTCGTCTGTCGCTGCGGGCCCTGCGACCGGCCGATGTCGATGAGCTGGGAGAGCGATACATGACCGTCCACCTCGCCGTGGAGCATCAGGATCCGATCCGGGGTGATTCCGACTGTTTTGGCGGCTGCCGCAGCAACTTTCAGAGAGCCAGGCACCGTGAATATGAGCTTTGCCTTTGAGAGTCGAAGCGCATATGCCATCTCTTCGACATTGTACGCGGGGGATGCGCCGGCCACGATGCCGCCGGACCGCAGGACGCTAAAGAGGGCACAGGGATACCAGATGGTGTTGGGGCTGAAGAGGCAGACACATTCGCCCTGTCGAAGGCCATATTTCTGCACCAGGGCGGT